TTCGAAATTCTACCAGCTCGGTTTCAGTTCCTGGTTATTATCTTCTGAAATACGCCGCAGGAACGTAAATACCGATACATACAATTTCTGATGAAGGCTGACTAGGATACCAATGACACATAAGGTCAATGCTATTTCACAGAATCTCCTGTATTCAATGTAATTTTTGTTTTTTTTTTCAATTGTTATCTGTGAATTAGCTTTTTTATTTTTTTCAAAATATTTGAACAATATAGGAGATACCGGTTTTTATTCCCGACAATACAATTACTAAAAATAAATTTTTGACACATATTTAAATATCATTAAACATATTTTGCTGGTGGTTACTGTAACAGATTTCAAATAATAAAAGTAACAACTGAACAATTGGATAAATTGTTTTCAAGTTTCAACAAAAGTATTTTCGATATTAATCTAACAAAGTAGGCCATCTAGTCAGTATGTTTGTTCGTGAGAATACCTTATCGTAAGGATAGGCTTAAACGCCACAATGTTTGTTCACATTTCTGTTCACTTTGAACAATTTTAATCTAATCAATGTCTGCTTATCTGTCGCTAGGCTATATGCACATTTAAATTTTTCTTTATTTGGAATTTTCATTTTTTTTTGTATTAAAATGCGTATTGTGTTTGATTTATTGTTTTTTGCAACGAAGTGTTAATAAATAAATAAATAAATAAATATAAGTATGTCATTGTATGAAATAAAAACTGATTATTATGGTTTTCAAGATGTAATCAAATTAAAGATCTATGTAGCAACAGATATAAAAAGTCACTAAGAACTACTGTCCTTAGTGTCACATGTGTGTTGTTGGAGAGCATAAATAAAATAAATTCTCAGAAATGACAATCTTATCAATAAACAAAACATCAGAGATGTAAACGTTTTATTTTTTTATATAATATACAAACAAGCAAGAGGCTTATCTGATGTTAAGTGATACCGCCGCCCATAGACACTCACATTGCCAAAGGGCTCGAAGGTGCATTGCCAGACTTTTAAGAATTGGTACGCTCTTTTCTTGAAAGACTAAACATACCTTAAACTCATCGAAAGAGACGAAAGAGTTCATTAAAACTGATATCTTTTTTTATTAATAAGGGTTACATTTACGTGAAACTTCATTTGTTTTTATATCTCTATATACGTAGGTATATAAAATTCTCGTGTCATAATGTTCGTTCCCATACTCCTCCGAAACGGATCGACCGATTCTTATGATTTTTTATGCATATTCAGTAAGACTGAGAATCGGACAACAATTTTACCCCCTAATTAAGGTTTCGCGGTGGTCCCACCCCTAAATTTTGATTTTAATTGTTTATACAAAACTTTTTGTTCTTATTTTTTATGATACAGCATACAAAAATACATACAACCCCTAATTGTCACCCCTCTACGATCAATCAATATTTTTGATTATAGTAGATTTAGTTTTTATTGAACTAAAAAAATGATTCCTAGAAATAATATACATGGCAAAACAACGTTTGCCGGGTCAGCTAGTATTTTATAAAAATATCATTGAGTGTCCCGTTCTAGCTGAACATTCATTTAAGCGCGAAAATTATAAGTAAAGTTTTTCTATGGAATACAACCCGTTTTAAATACCTAATTATATTTCAAATTAGCGGTATTTGCAGATTATGGATTAGTCACACTAACAATACATTATCTGCGGTTTATGAATACCGGTTCTACTTGTTTTGCGTATTGAAATATAATCCTCGTATTCAAATTACGCAGTTTCCAACGAAACATATTTTTGTGTAAACGTTCCGGTTACGTCGTTTTTTTTTAAGTCACAATACTGTTAATTAAGCCTGTATCTGTAAAACTGGTTTTAAATAATGAATACTGCATTTAGTCAAACATTATCTTAATAGGGACCTAAACTTATGCCTTGCAAGAGGCCAATTTAGTAATCAATGCCTAAATTTCTCAGCACGTTGTCTTTGTTAAAACTATATTCTAGCATTATTAAATGCAGCCAGCATTTTTTTTGACGTTCATAAGTGTACATTGTGTTACCTATATAAATAAATGATTTTTGACTTTGACATTACGTTACCTCCCTACAGATTACAGGAAGGGCATTCTGTTATCACGTTGTTAAGTTTTTGTCGCTATGTTTTGTAATCCTACGGTAATGTTTGTTTAAGTAGACTTATTCATTGCAAACATTGGTATGTTATGTGCACGCCGTCCGTACCTATTATCGAGGATACACATTTGTTTGTAAAATTTACAACTTCTTATTTTTTGTTAAGGCCTATCCCAGCACAAATTGCTGTGTCAGTGTCATTGGGTGGACTGCGGGGCGCAGTGGAGAGCTGGAGCACTGAGGCGCGCCGGCCCGTAATAACAATTAGTTATGTAAAACATTAAATTAATGTAATTTTATCCATTTTTTTTCTGAAATAGATTACTTGGCTTGCGATAAAATATATCGTGTAAATTTTAAAATAATGTTCTATATACATTTTCGTCATAAAATGAATTCAAAGTGTCAAAAATTGGCTATGTTTGGATTTTTTTTCTATTTAAATCGTGTATCGATCTTTCAAAATGGGTACATAAACTACTCAACTCCACCATATATTTTTTCCATTCGCCCTACTTCAAGAAACGATGACGAAAAATGGAAAGAAACTGTACTTTTTTGGAGTTTGGCGACCAGATCGGTCCTTAACTGTGGCTTTGTTGGCGCGGCTTTTGATAAATAAATTACTTATAAGTAATTTACACTCACGCTCAATCCGCTGAATCTGCTTCCCAATATGTATTTTTGCCTGCGAACTAAGCAACATCCTACAAATTTTTCCAATTGCTGGCTTACAGCTGCAGCACGTCCTCGTCGAAATAGCTGTGCTGTCCTAGTTATCAGAGACCTAAGTCATGAAGTAATAAGTAAAAGAATCATGAAGTAAGGATATATTTATGTTATTAATAAATACGTCCTTTTTACCATCTAAAACAAACAATAGACACATAATAATATTTTAAAGAACATTGACGAACTGTTCAAAAGAAATAAAATAAAATAAGTGTTGAATTTTTTCCTTTCCTGTAATGTTTGTTTCTCTGGACATACGAGGTTATCATTCTAAAGCGACGTTATATTATTAGGTATAATTGTATAGACTAGATTGTAATTCAGATAAAGCTCTTTTTTTGTAAACTTAGTTATAAGCTCAACATATTTTAAATATTTGAGTTGCGGTTTTCTTCGTGTGTCTATTTTATAGCTATTTACATTTTATAATTTGGTAACTATTTAAAGGTCCATGCTTGGACTAACATAATCTGTTTACTAAGTAAATAAGACAGGAAGGTTCCAATATTTGTTTAATTTTGAATTCAACGAATATTGAAACCTTTATATATTTAATAAATCATATAATGACTAATAAATTTATAACTTTGGGAATAGTAAATAATACCTTTATTAATTCATTCATTTATTAACTTATAATTATTTTGAGATCGTTATCATAATCGTCGTCATAATCTAAAAACTATAGTTACTTAATATCACAATTACTTTGGTGTTATATACTTTAAAGTACATGCATATATCTAATTCTAAAGTCCAAGAATAAATAAGTATTTACAATGTCTTAGAATCGAAACAGGATAGTAATAAAAGCGAAAGTCTAATTACATGTTTAATTTTTCGTATCTTTCTGTCAAATTCTTAATAAGGGGGAGTTTATATAATGTTTACATAACTAATCTTTGTTTGGGTAATTAAAGATGTCAATAATTATAATCACGCATACAACAGAATATAATATCAAAATAACTATCTAACGGTTATATGTTTATATACAAATCATATACTGCAGGATTATCAAGTTCAACAGAGATTATTTAATCTAAAGTCTAAGTTTAGTGAGTGCTTTTGCGTTAATCTTTGGAAATCGGTATTTGTTTTACAGAATAGCGCTGCTACTGCTACCTGTTACAATCCATACGAAATGGTATCACATTCCTACGACTCATCAACAGCGAAGAAGTTATGAATTCGTTCTATTATAAATAGTGATGATACCGAATTTTTTTTAATTTCAATTCAACATTTTCCGCATAAAATATCGAGATGAATATTTACATTTCTATTGTTTCATTTATTTCAGTTCATATGTATTATTTATCAATCAATCATTCAAATTCCCTAGGAATAATTGAATGTGATTTCCCATAGAATATATTTACGTATTTCCATTAATGATTTCCTTAATTCCACGCACATTCATAAGTAAAATATTTCAGTTAAACAACAATTTGGTGATCGGATATCCTTATCAATTGTTTAATATATTAATTGGCTCGTAATTTCTTACGTAATATAGTTATTTAAATGTCATTTTCATCGTATAATTCATGTTGGGATTGTGAATGCTTCTAGTCTATAAATAAAAATGAATTGCAAAATATGTAGCTAAGCACAAAACTCGAAGACGGCTGGAATAATTCGAGTATTATCTCCGAGGAAGGTTTTAATGGAGTGCAAAATTTAAAAATGTAGTTATATTTAGTACTTAGGTTCTTATTCCGGAAAAGAAAACAGTCTCTATCAGGTAGCATAGCAAAATATTCCATATGTTGGTATGTAACTGATCAATCCTATCTTTGATAAGTAAAATCATTTTAAGGCGAAAAGAATTTCGCGGGGACAGTTCTAGTTGACATTTAAATTGTATTCGAACTAAAAATTATGTATCCGAGAAATTATAAAACTAATATTAATAAATCTAAACAATTTAGTTTATTCTATTTAAAACATCCAACGGCGCGTATGCATTTACTTTGTCACTTGTGCACAAGTTTTCTACTTCCCTTTTAGTATGCATCACTATTCGTTAAATAAACATGTTACTAACAACCAATGTCCCATACAATCTTTAGAGTAACGTCACTCGACTTTCAACTAAGGACAATCAGCCCTCATTCACACTATTATACCATAACTCTTCCGAAAACGGCACATTCATAAGGCACCGTGTTCAATGCTTTCGTTAATCATGTTCTGTGCATCTTCATCCTCAGTATCTTCGTAATCTAGCATTGTATACTCTGTGTGTATACTCGAACTATCCTCTGAGTCATTGACATTTAAGTATGTGACTGTAGCATAGTACGCAGGCCTCGTTTGGGCGGGGCTGCTGCGCGTAGAATCGTAGGCTGAATCGCTGTTTGATACAGATCTCGCGTAGCTACGTAGGCTTGTGTGGTTACTGCCGTAGCTGCCGTAGCTGCTGTGATACTCTGATGTGGTCTCTGAATATTCAGATAGGTTTACTGGGGTTAGGCTTTTACGGCATTCGCAGAAGTTGACATCCACATCTCCTTCTTCACTTTCTTTCTTTCCTTCGACGGTGGTCGATATGGATGGATCTGGTGAGACACGATTGTTGCTTTTCTTGTTCTTGCCCTTGAATATTTTGAAGGCCTGTAACAAAAAAAGTTACATGAGTATAAAGTAAGGCGGTGCACTAATGGAATTCCTATGAGCCCATTGAACAGGAGCGTACATTGACGACACAAGACAGAGAATGTTAATCACCTACTTGCCAATTACGAAAAAAGTATTTCCTTCACTGTACGAGTGATGGTTCGTTGTAGACCTAGTACGAAAATTTCATACAGTATTGAGATGCGCGCGCTAACCAACAATTCTCTCACACGTAAATGAATCACACAGAAAAGCGATCAAGGTTGTTGAAGCATCAATGATGTATGGGGTATAAGAGAAATAAGCGCGTCTTTTACTCTGTCATTAAACCTACATACCGCTAACTAAAACGATTACACAATTAATTAATTTACTACGATTAAGAATTTAGTTAAAATTATTATTGCTACGATAAATAATCATTAAAAATTTAAATTAAGCAATTGATAAGAGTCATCCTCCAACTTTGATGTTGTTCCCTTTGGAGTACAGACTCTTGGGCAGTGGAGCTAATTAAAAATTTAATTTGGAGCCTGGTAGATAGTACTGGACCCCAGAGCTGGTACTTTCCTCGCTCAAGGAATAAGTATCACACAGGAAATGATGCCAGCATTAAGGGTACACTGCCACAGAGACCAAACTTTTTATATTTTTTTTATGTATTGTTTTATATTATATGTCAGTTGACATATCTTACTTGATCTTTGAAGCTTAATTTATTTTATTTTATTTTATTCAAACAATTAAGCATTCCACATTGTACTATGTGTACCAATCTCTTGTAGTATTCCGATAAAACTAATAAAAACATATTTTTTATCGTTACGTATTAAACTATGTCAAATAATTTACGTAATTATTATCTTAGGCGAGGTTAGTAACTAGTAAGACAGTCCTAGTAAATAAAATTATAATTAGATTATTAAGAGTAATATGTAAAACGTGTAAACATGTATTGAGGCTATCTAGGGTTCGCCTTCTTAACATAGATAATATTACGTCGTGAAGATTTGTTAGATAAAGGTTTTTAGGTCTTGTAACAAAATGTGCGGACGTTTACGCATCATCAACGCACTTTGTCAATAATTGCCGTAGAAGTTCGCCAGATAGTAGACAGAAGCTTTTTTTATCGACTTCAAAAAAGGAGAAGCTTTACGTGCTATCTCTTTTCCTTAATTTCTTTACCCTGTGCAAGTATACGTATAATATTTAATTATGTCTCTAAATTCTGTTGTTAAAATATATTATATATATAAATTCACTTTTTATCATATTTGGATACTACATTGACTAAATATAACGGCTACATTAAAAAAAAGTTCCTTGTGTTTTAACTTTCAAATTAATCAGTCGATAAAGTGACGGATTTAATAGAAACATGTGATTTTTCTAGAAAACTGTGTAATTTAATGTTTTTATTTTTATTTTTTTTCAAAACAAACCCTTTTGTTTGCTTGTATGACAATTTTCATAATTACAGAATATGTATTAAAATATGTAGTATGACAAAAACTAACATGATTACATTATTTTGAAATGGCTGCCCTAAAGTTTACTATTTGTCAGATCCGTCACTATTCTACGACTATGACGAAATTATAAGGTGCAAAGAGGAAATATTAATTTTGAAAATTAGATTGAGGTTTTCTCCCACATTAGGTGCAAAATCTCTTTATCCAAGTTAAGTCTTGAAAACAAACTCACAAACACACTAAATACATACACATGGTCTAACAACCGGAAGTGTTATCGCAGGAAATAATCCTACGTGAAGCGAATGAAGAACAAAATAATAACACAACATTTTGTTTACAACCGTATTTCAGTTTAATAATATAAAAACTTACGTATTCAAAAAAGCTAAAATACTACTCTTGTTCTTTTAACTTAAAAACTCTTTCGTCTCTTTCTGTCAAATTGTGTTTACGCTGTGATGTAAAGAGATAGAGTAGGTACTTTCATTAGGTGCAATTAAAGGATTTTTATCAAGGTTATATGTTCTATGTTAACCACCAAAAAAGCCTGTAATTTATTAAGGTATTGTGGGTTCACAAACTCGTCAAACAATGACGTCAGAGTTGCGTGACGTATGTTCTGACCTTTTAAGCTATTTCAAACTTTTTTGCGTCAGTGACGATTTTCCTCATGTTTTATAACTTAGAAGTTAATTTAATACCGAATATCATTTATGATCACATATTTAGTAGGTTTAGTCGACAGAAAATTTAAGTCGACGTTTATAATTATAATCTTAATTAATATCATTAAAATCGCGGTTACCCACGCCCATATATAAGGGATAAGATAAATTGACTGGAATTCAATTAGAATAAAATATTATTTTAAACCTGATCTCTTGTTATTTATCATAAATTTTTATAAATCTATACATTATGTTTAAGTCCAGGATTTGTGTTCATTTATTGCTTATTTTTGAATTTATATTATATTAATTATATAAAGAATACATAGTTAAGAAGAATAACTACCGTAGCAGATGATACAATAAAAATAAGTTACGTGGAAATGGGCACATGGCAAGAGGAACAAAAAAGTGGGGCAAGAAAGTACTAAACTGGTACCCAAGGTACAATAAACGGAAAAGAGGAAAACAATTTAGGTGGATAGACCACATTAAAGAAACAGCGGTACAGTGCAGACAGAAATGGCGGAGTTCGAAGGAGGCCTTTGCCCAAAAGGCACGCAGATAATAAAAATAATGAGATGATAAAAATATAAATATGTTTAAGTTTATATGCATCAGAAATAAAAGGCTATTATTATTAAGTTTATAATGCAGTTGCATACTGTAATGATATATGATTTTTTTTTGTTAAGACTAGATTTTCCTAAGAGTTATTACCGTTAGAAATCATTATAGAATAACATATTACATAGAAAAGCAATTCATGTATTACTACTCATAAAATTATATAATGAATATTATCACAGGCAGAATGTATGTTAGCGATCAAAGTTGAACGCACTACCCGTTTCCATTTCCTGTGATTTACTGCTATCAGAGAATTGTTATTATATAAATTAATAAAAACAAGTTTATTTAAACATATTATATATTACAAAATTACTATTGGTAAAGCTAAACTACTTAAGTTTTAAAATATACCTCCAACACAAGTTTCGTTAAGTATAATTTGAGAAATAAACTCGACACATTTTTTAATATTCTTCAATCATAATTCATAATTATGACCAGAGATTGACGTATACAGTTAATTAAACATATACTATCTCTCTTTTATACTATCGAACAATATTAATCGATTAATTAAGATATTATTAGGACTGAGGACAATGCGTATTAATTGACATTAATGGCTGTCATGTAAACAGATAATTCAGTGATTAATATCAATGCAATAATGTATTTTAATATTCAGAATCAGTCGTCAAAAACGTGTACTAACAGTTCAAGTTTACTTACTATACTCTTATTATAATAGGAATGTCTAGTGTTAAAGTTTTGTCTTACTAATTGGAATATTAAAAACTAATTTTATATCTATTTAGATTCTGTTCCAACTAGGTTTCGTTCTGCTCTGGTTTATACCACGAACTACCTAGTACCTAGTAGGGCTAGGTCAGGATTAGTTGAAAAACAAATGAATGCGATTTATTGTAATCGGACTGAAGATGTTGACCAGTTGACATTTGACAATTGACTTGTATAATGGCGGGCCTTCACGCTCGCTTATTTGGTTTGACGCGAAACAGATACTTTACAAAACACGTTGATAGTAATCTCGAGTTTGCATATAATGTAAATTTGCATGAAAATACATTTAATATATGCGACTTAAGTGACATTGACATTTGGGTTATTCTAATTTTTATTATATATTTAAAAAATTGCTATTTAAGCCATAACGATTTACAAATAATCATATTCCTTTTTAAAAGTATAAATTTGTTTAAACAGTTATTTATTTATAAAGCAACTTTTTATAGACTTTGTTTGACGAGTAAATATAACGAATAAAGGCGATAATCTCATAAACTTCAAGTTTTATTAGATATTGGAGTATCGCAGATTCACAATATGTAGAATATACACATTGATTGTGTACTATTTATCCTTGGTAAAGACGTCAGATTATTTAACGTATCCAAGATCATTGATTTATTGACAGCACTCTGATACACTTGATTTTCTCGAGTGGTTGAGTGTTGTTCGGAGCATTAAAGGTCACAATTTTATTTCCTGTGGGGAGATGTCAATGGAATATCATTATCTTGTTAAATATAACATTAAAAAGAATTAACAGAGAGAGGGTGAGTTTCAAAGTCGAGACTTAGTTTTGACTGTATGCCAAATCTGATTGATTCTTACTCCTGTACGCCAGATTTGTGATGAGTGATCTAAAGTCAAAAGTTATTATAACGATTTTAATTTGCGTAAAATTAAAAGCATTTTTAAAGAACTATAATCTAGCATACAATGCATTTTTCTCACGTGAAGGTTATTAATGTTTTAAGAAATACTACTATGACTATGAATACTGTTGAAAAAAGAAACAGAATATTGTCGCATTATGACGATTCCCGACGGACACTTACACAAAGGTGAATGTACAAGAATTGTATGAAACATGTGAACAGAAACTTTATTGTTTATTTTATTATTTATACGTTTGAATTTTGTTATTACGTCTAAACAATTTAATTAATCTTGATTTTTTGCCAATAATGATTTTAATTCGAAGAAAATAAATGGAAGATTGAGAGAAATTGCAAGTTAAAAATTTTCGTATCTTTTCGTTAGCAAAATTCGAAATAACAGACCAAAAAGTAATTTAGAAATACTACGTAATTATTATTAATGCATTAATAGGAATAATTTTGCCACAAAAAAATATTATTCCTTAAATCTATTAATATGAATTAATAAATTTCCCCGAACCGAATACGAAAAATAAAAATTACGAATAAATTTTTTTGTCAATTATTATTTATTAATTAGATGTGTAATAATGTCGAATATAGGAAAACTAATATAAATAAAATTTTGCATGTATATACGGATTCAAAACAACTTATCCTTGAACAGCTTTACAAACTAGTTTTATAACTCTATTGACGCCAACAAGCCTGTAGTATCAGTAATGTATAATATATGTAGTAGCTATATCTCACACACGCCGTCTGTTGTGGCAGATAACGATATTTACTCTCGTATCGCTAAATATTCACATTATTTAACAGCATGTAAAAATAATATAATTTTTGGATTGACTTTTCGACTAACTTTTTGACAAACAATTGAACCTCACATGTTTATGTATTCCTGGTACTCATTTTTCTTATTGGCTTAGCAATTATTCTTAGACTAAAAATTAATTTAAATTTACTAGCCAAGCTGTATTGGAATTCATCGTAATCAGGCTATCTGTTTGACTCTTAGCTATTTATGTACTCCTTGTACTCATCATTTCCTTCTTATTGGCTTGACAAATGTGCGACTTCGCTTAATAGGATAGAACAAAATTTTACAGAATCATGCTATCATCATCTGCCCTTGAAAGCAGCCAGTCTTACAAACAACTATTGTGATTATGCAGTAACATCCAAAAACAAATGGTTCAATCAAGTAGTAAATAAAACTGTACGTGTTTATTCAATCAATCCTCTCTAAACAAATTTAATAATAACAACTACGAGGTTGGTAGAAACCACTAAATATCACTTAAAGGAGAGTGGGTCGTGTTTTTTAAACAATGGCGAAATCGGGTCAGCGTATTTTAGATCTATTCTGATCTAATTAAATGAAAATAGATTTGGAGAGATGTTTTGAAATTTTATCGCTGTTTTGTAATAAGCGAACATATTATACGACTCGCTTCAGGTCCCGAACTCGTAATCTTGACTGTTTATATCTAAACTTTCCTGTTTTATATAACAGGAGACTAACGGGGAAGATGCTCATCTGATGGTAAGTGATAGACATAGACACTCACATTGCCAGAGGGATCGCAAGTGCGTTGCGCGCCTTTATATAGTGTGGCCTTATAAATCATTCTATCTATTGGTTAACTGAATAAAATCCGTAAAGTTTATTGCAGAAAGATAGACGCGGCAGAGAGAGGAGTTTTTATATGTAATGATTACCAGTACTCAAACTAGAGTGTTCATATAACAAAAGAGTGTTTCCGTGCACAGATTGCAAATAAAAAAATTATAAATTAAAAAGCGCTTTAAAGTATCCTTGACTCAAACACATTACACAGATTATATTTTTCGCCTCGAAGACTATTTGCAAGCCATAAATTCATAATAACCGGAAAAGTATATTTGCTTACGAAAATGTTATACGAGATTATTTTCTATATTGTTATCTTAATCATGGTACATCTTAACTCATGGTTTGCATAATTAATGCCAATAATACTGCTTCAAAATACGTAATCAAACAAAGGACACACAGAATGTAGCGTTCACTCCGCCATGACGTTGTTAATTTTGTCTATGCTTTGACTGACACGTTACGATGACAATATGACATAGTGTTAAATGCTTCAATACAGTTTTGTAAAAAAATAAGTTGCGTGAGTTTTGCCTATAGCTATTATTATTTAAAACACTTTAAATCCCGACAACTATGTTTAAAAGGATAGAAAAGCAGATTTCTTCTACAATAAATGTTTAATGAAAAGTTTTGCCTATAGCTATTATTATTTAAAACACTTTAAATCCCGACAACTATGTTTAAAAGGATAGAAAAGCAGATTTCTTCTACAATAAATGTTTAATGAAAAAAGAAACAGCATATCTTGTGTATCTAAAATA